ACCCCTAGAATTATTCAACTCATTAGTGAACCGAACCGCATATCAGATATTAACGCATATAACCAAGGAGCAGGAAACTCGCGCCGGTTTTCACCGCTGGTCGTTTCCTACCTCGGCGCGGCCGTTACTGGTAGAAAATGCAGCTACGAGCCGTCTCATTCCACACCTCTGACACCACCCCGTCAGCCCCATCACCACGCGACAATGTCAACCATATGGTATAACGCGAGCGAAAAATTTTTGAACACTGAAGCAGCTATTTGTGCCTGTTTTGCGTACTCCGATCCTCTCACCTTGTCGAGCGCACTATGCGCACTACTATGTCCAAGCCTACTGCAGGCTGCGATGCCCTCAAAGTTGCAAAGACTCCATTACAGGTTACAAACAAAATATTTTCATGCGAAATGTTGGCAACATTCAAGCTCAGACTGCCCTTCGTTACAAAGTTTTAGCAAGTTCAGAGGCCTAATTCTTTCTCGTGCCAACGCGTCCAAAAGGAAAAATCCACTGAGAAAAACGACCTTCACTTCATTTGGAAAATCATTTTCCAGACTCTGAAGGCAGATTTAGGTTCAGTGCCACAGATCTGCATCATTTGCAGATGGGAGGATCGATCCGCTGGGTTCCCTGTTATTCTGTGGAGGCTATCTGAAGTATTTCTAGGGCATTATCTGTGGACAGAAAAGATTTCACTCTTTTGCTCTTGGCTGGCTGATGGTCTGACAGGAGCTGTGGCTTTCGAAAGGTTGAAAACTCCCATGGCTCTCTCAAGATATTTTCTCATTCAACTTCTGGCCTGGTGCTACGACAGCAGCCACACGATGCTTCAGTGTCTTTTAGGTCGTACTGTACTGTGATTTTTGCCCCTCCCACCCCTGCTTCGTGGATTGGGAATGTATCCATAAAGGAAACAAGGGTCATTGTGGGGGTGGTGGAGGAGAGGCGTATCCAGAGGCAAAATGCACGATAAATCCCCTAGGCGCGTAATATAGTAAACCCGTCGAATATCAAAGACTGGCGCGCCTCTGAGCTACCTTACATGACGTCTTTTCCAACGAAAGGCGGTCTCTAAGCGTCTCAGCAAGGCTTAGCCTACCCACTCAGACTCCCATCAGCAAGGACACGCACTACTACATCCTACTTCCTGTTAGGAGCCCCTGTTGATTTATCGTGAAGTCTACTACCATTTGAAATAATGTTTTTATTTCCTTCGCACTCGGCGTGATTTTTTTACATCAATCTTTGACCATGATCATTCTCAGGCGTAGGCCCGTATACTTCCTAATTGGAGCGGTTTATAAGAGCCCTATTTCGGGCTTTTCCAGACTTTTCGTCCCGTTCTTGCTTTACTATCGACTAGCGCCTCCGTTTCCGTTTTCTGCGGGAAACAATTACCGTGCTCACTACCTTCAAGTGAACCTCTGTTGGTTGCAATGCTTGATCCTCTGCTGCACAGCTTGTTGCTGCTCCTAGAGGAGCATCCTAGGAATATTTTGATAGCGCGTGCCATTGACAAAGTGTCTTTTTTAATCCTACCCTTCTCATATAGGGCTGCAGTAGAAATTGAACCAGACGTTCATTCATGGGAAGACTTTTTCTGATATGAATCGTTCGCTTGGATATGATAGCTCTCCTATTAGCGCCGACCAGCGGCAAGTAGTCGAACATTCGGATATTACGTCATATTACCCTATTTTCTAGGATACAAGGCGCATTTTTTTTGCATGGTAGCAAAAATGCACGTGAAAAGTTTTTTGAGCATTTTTTTCTTTGCACATCAAATCTTCTGGCTACCTGCAGACATCTATTGTTCAAAATAGCTCTTTCACGCAGATAACAACAGGCAAAAAGGCCTCCGAGGCCGTCGTTGTGATAGGATAGTGCTTCCTTTTTGCCAGCTTCTCATTTCCATTTCTCATAGATACGGAGCAACTATAGATAAAAAAGAGAGTGACCTCACTCTCGAGTTGTAGGTCGATTTTTACGGGATTTTTGGCTTATCTAATGGTGCGATTAGTGACCAGAAGGAGTTACTTAGGGCTTTAACTTTGCTAATACTGAGTACGGTAGATCTCCGACAATCATGTTTTTTGGCTAGTGATTCCCAACATGTCGGTGCCTCGCTTTACGAATAGTAGAGAAAATGAGTATTTCTGAATGAATTCAAGCGTGACGTCATCCATATTTTGAAGTCGATTAAGGTGGACTGTGGTCCTTACAACGGTGCTGGTATCCAGTGATACCGCTTTGGAGTCCAACCAATAACACACTAGAATCTTTATCCCATGCACATCTGCTTTTGGCTAAGCAATCTACTTTTCTATTTGAGAGATCCTGCGAGGGACATGTGCATGATGTACGCAAGGGCTCCACAATGATTACACATAAGTCTCCGAAGTTCTTCGCTGTGTACAAGGATAATGAAACTCAGTTGCGGTCATTTCTGCCGCGCCTCAGTCATGACTTGTCGAACGGGCTGGCCATCATGAGGGTCTTTCCAAAAAGTTTTCGTATACGGGATGTTGCCGGAGAAGCAGTGGCAGTTGTCGACAGATTGGCGCCTAGAGAGGTCGAACTTCGGTGGTTACGTTCGGCTGACGGCCTCAAGAGCTTGAGTAAAAGGGCCCGTCATTCTTGCTGCGTCGTGCCGCGACCTCTATACTTTTCTGCACGAGTTAATTACTCGCTAGGCTGGTCAGCCGCTAATGCACAAGAGCTACCTCCTCGCCATGGCAAGCGAGTACGTCCCTTCTCGGGTCCCTACCTGCAATGTGAGCGGTGTACTGATATATTCTCTCGTACGACGATTGGCGTCTAAGGAAAATCATTAATGATGGACGGTCGAGACGTACCTCCGTATCTCTGGGGCGATTTTGTGCTTTTGGGAACTGTTCCTCACAAAAGTTATAGTTATTTGCAATGTGGGACCCAGGGCACTCTCCTTGGAGTCGAGGTGGATAAAACATCAAAAATGTTTTTGGTTTTTTGCTTAGAAAATTTAATTCAAGATGTGCGCAGGACGTTGAACAACCTAATAGGGCAGTCATGCTGCTTTTCGATGTAGGATGGCTGATGGAGGAATCACTTCTTGTACCATGTTTCAGCCCTAGCTTTGAGGGATGTGTTGGCCGTAAAAAATGTGAAGGATAAAATCTTTACCGTTGATTGGTCTTTTTTGGTCTGCGCCACACACTTCTCTTCCATTCCATTTCGTAGTTGCTTGCAAAAAGTTGTCCAGAAGCTGCAACTAAGCCATATTTGGGAGCCGAGTACTTGTGAAGTCACTCTTTTTAAAATGAAATCCCTGAGCTTTCTAAAATGCCTATTTTATTACGAAGATGCAAATCAGGAGTTTCTGCCAAGTTCTCATTCCAAGGTAGTATTGCACTTCATGAGGTGCCACACAAATCCACCGATGTAGAGAACATGATGAAGATACGGGCAAACTCGGCAAGATGGGGGCACCGAATGGTCTCCTTCAGAGCTTGTGCAGGCCTGAAAATCTTTACATTCCCTCCACCAAGCTGTCTTACTTGTACCACTTCGCAGCTTCACAAGAGCTCACAGGTGTCACCAAAGGGAGACTCGCTCTTTAACATGAACTATTAGGTTGTCCGGAAAGTTCTCAGCGTTTTGGGTGTTTCACTTTAAACGATCGTAACTTTTTTAATACTCATCGGATTTAATCGAAATAGGCACCATTCGAATCAGCACACTTTTGCCAATGTGACAGCAGTCGAGAAATCCCATCAAAGTAAAAAACTGGGTGGTCGAAATTCCACGAAGGCTTTTTTTGCCTGGTCCTGATTGATGAAGTATTTTCCAGCAAGGGAGTTCTGAAAATGTTAGAAAAGGTGATAGTCGGTTGGCGAAAGGTCTGAAGAATATGGCGGTTGAGGTAGAACTTCAACCCCCAATTCGTTCAATTTATGGATAGTGATTTGTGAAACGTGTGGGCGGGCGTTGTCATGCAAAGGAATCGGACCCTTTCTTTTGATAAGTGTTGGCTGCATCTGACAAAATTTTCGGTACAATTCGTCGATTTCTTCACAGTAGGGTTCTGCTGTGATGGTTTGGCCTGGTGATAAAAAGTTATAGTGGATCACACCAGCCGATGACCACCAAGCCGTGACCAGAATCTTTTTTTCGTGAGGGTTCGGCTTTGAAAATTACCTCGGTGGTTCTTCGTCGAAATCCAACCACTGTCCGGAACGTCACATGACCCATTTTTCATCACAGGTGACAATTCGGCCCAAAAACAGGTCGTTTCTGCTGCGCAAAAGCAATGCAGAAGGAACCTCGAGACGTGCCGATTCCTGCCGGTCACTCCGATTGTGGGGCACCCAATTGTCGAGTTTTTTCACCTTCCCAATGCGTTCCAGACCATCTGCAACAGTGGATTTGCCAAGGCCTAGCTCTTCTGCTATCTCTCGAACTGTTTGGGATGGGTCAGCCTCCAAAATCCCCCTAAAATCCTCGTCAGATATTGCTTTAGGTCGACCGCTATGAGGTTCATCTTCAAGGCTGAAATCTCCAGAACGAAATTTGTTGAGCCATTGCCGCACAGTGCTTTCTCTAGCACTATTGGGCCCCACACCTGGTTAATTTGTTGAGCTGTTTCGATTGCGGATTGCCCCAATTTATAGTCGAAGAAAAAAATCGTCCGAAGTGCTCTTTTCACATGCTTGAAAAAATCTTGAAAAAAGGGGGTTTATCAAGCAATGGTGAAACGGCAATTATACCATCAGATAGCGCAAGAAATTCTCTACAGGATGTGCTACTGAGAAGCAAGGCAGAATGAGTTTTTAATCAGCAGTGAATGTACAAAAAATAGGTGCACAAAACGCTGAGAACTTTCCGGACAACCTAATAGCTGAAGAGGTTAGCGAGAGAGCAAAACGCCCCCTCCTCCTTCCGCCCTCCCCTCCTAAGCCGGACAGCACTGAAAATTCTCCTAGTCCGCACTCAACATGTGTGTTTGATTTCTTTACACCAATTACGATTGAATGTCTCCCGCGATTGCAGTCATTTCTTGCAGATTATCCTTCCTCATTAACAATATGCCGTACTCCGGATGAACGTCAAGATTTCTTTCGGATTTTTTAGCCTAAAAATCGCTATCAGGAGAACTCCCCATATAATCCATCGCTGTGCCGATGAAGTGAATTGTAAACTCTTCATATAATTTTCAGTGCCGGCTCATGATGTCCAGAAGGCCGCCATCTTACCAGAACCCTTGCACACAGTGACGCAATCCTTACCAGAAACAACTGTAAATGCGACTTACTCGACCACTTCCTTGTCAGCCTACCTAACATGCTTATCCTATATTTATAAGTATTCCTATTCGTCGTACTTATAACTATTACTACCACTTATTATTAGACGAAATTTCTACTTCGATCCCTTTTCTAACCCTCTAATTGTGTTTCGACTTTATATAGAACTGATGCCGTTTGAACGCGCTCAGTTTTGGCTGCTAGCTCATTTATGAGTGCCTAGATCACCAAATCCGCTGAAAACTTGTACACAGGGGTTATTTAACATCCTGATTACGAATATGACATTCATTCTTGGCGCTGGCGCTAATATATTAGGTTGTTCGAAAAGTCCTGCGACACTTTGACCAAATTTTTCGAACTAAATTTCTGGTCAGTAAAGGACATCTCCAATCTACAAGGTACGATTGTTGTCGTGCCTCTGTCCAACCCAGAACATGATGATAGTAGTCCCAGACCGGAATATTCCACGAGTAGCCAGTTCCGTGCCATGTTCAGATGCCACGCCTACTCTGGCTCAGGGATAAGGAGTGTACATAGATGATGCTGATGAAGTGCCTTCGCGGTGATTTGGGGCGGACAATCCTTCCCTACAATTCATAACAATCTCAGTCTAATTTAATTTTTCGATTAATTAACTTTTTTAATTACCTTATTTGATTTCTTTTTTTATTTTTTACAATTTGTAACAGTCTCCAACTCCACGTATCTAATCATCTTCACTTGAGCATTTCTTGAATGGCTCAATCACCGCTATTTGAAACAAGCCGTCTTCTTTGCACCTAGTTAAGGCGGCCCTGCACTCCTTGCACTAAACCTCCTCAAAGGCACTTGGCATGATAAATTCCTAAGGCGAGTTGGATTAATACGCCTGGCAGCATGAATTCCGCGCCCCTGAGCAGGCGCATTGTAGCGCCTTCCCGAGGGAAGGTACCCTAGGTCTTATCAAGCTGCAGCATACCGACACGGACGCCCACCGCTCCCGCCCGCCCAGAAATGGACGAGCATAGATGCTCGTATTGATTTATTGAAGCGGCCGTGATGTTGCATGGATATGCGAGTACACAGGTGGAGCCACACCTACCGCTGCGGTTGTTGGCACGATGTCACGGGGAACCAGTCCGAAATTACCTTCTGTGGCATGAATAATGAAGGCTTTTCGACCGTTTTACTTCGTTTTTTCCATTTCCCCACTATGTAGCACCCTGCTCGCATTTTAGACAGAAAAGCAAATTATCGTGCCATATGCCTTTGTCTGCAAAAGTCTTCTATGTCGCGTTGTTGCCTGATTTCGTTTTCCCGAACTACTTGGTTGTTCCGGTTTGAATATCGCTCAGATCCGCTCGCAGAGTGCTATCCGACGTCCATGATAGATTGGTAAATAAACTAATAAGTAAATATTAAGGTTAATCGTTTACTGAATCCTGCAACCGGTATATCTTTATGGCTTTTCCTTTTTGTAAAACCTATACTCTTTTGCCAGTAGCAGGAACTAGTATCACACAATCCTCTTTAGTTCACAGGTTACGTATGCCACTGGAGAAAATTACTTGCAGGATACGACCCCTTCATACGACTCCTCTTCCTAATCCCCTTCCTACCATGTTCCTGAAGCGGGGAGGGGTGCAAATTCACACGTGAAATCCCATAGGGACGCGCCGTGCCTTCAATCTCTATTCAAAATAAGGCACTATTGGACGCAAAGGCAGGCATTTTGCTTCAAGCAAACATTCGCGTTTTCCAGAACAGATTATTCTCGAGACAAATTCCCAGCCAAATGTACCCCATGGGAAGCATCCCATTTAAAATGTTGCATGGGTTCAGTGAAGAGATGGGCAGTGAAGAGTAAACAGTGCTCGAAATTGCAGTGAAACGTTGACTCGTATTTGAACCGTTCAGTGACTTGAGAGGGTTACTTTGGCCATGGCAAGTTCTTTCTCCTTTGAGACGAATGTAACCCACTTGAAGCTGTCGATAGTTTCCATGGACCAGGAGGGCTCTGACAAACGGCACTGTTCATATTTAGCGGATGCATGACCACTGTCGTTTGTCTTGTGGTTGTCTGAGGAATAATGAAACTCGAAGAAGTCATTCGGAGTTCTAGAGGTCGGAACTAGGGCGTTTACTGAAGGAATTTCAAAGCAAACTTGTTTACAAACCCTGACAGTCTTCTTGACATCAAATATCACTCATTGATTGACTGCGTAACCATGCATTCAGTTGTTTGCAACAATAGTATGAGAATTTTTCACAGAAAACTCTCAAACTGGATAGAGTAAGCACGTGATCTCGGCTGACTTGAGCCAGACCTTGCGTCCGAAGATCCCGAATAGGCTACTTCGGTCGCTGGAGAGAAAGGGAGTCGTATTTGGTTTAATAAAAAAATTTTTAGCAGTTGATTTTCTTGTTTCGAGGACGCTATAAAGGAGAGATGGGGGTCGTATTTGCTCCTTGTTGGGACAGGGGAGAGTCGTATTTGCCTCTGGTCATCTGAGAAAGGTTGTTGACTTTTTGTGGTTTCTCCTCCTCCATATGTACCATATGCCCCCGCAAAGTTTTCAGGAAAAAGTAGAAAAATTTTCGGGAAATTTCGGAAAAACTGGTAGAAAGTGGTAGGTAGGATGGGGAGATGAGGATGAGAGGGGACGTCACCTCCAAGATGACGCGTATTGCGCCAAGAGGTTTATGGCTCCAAAACAAACGCCATCCTCATGATCAGGGCTCGGATAGTGGCGGAAGAGACGGAAGTTTTGGAAGTAAGGAAAAAAAATCATTCGGGGCTATTGGGCCAGTACTAGTTGAGAAATTTACCATTTTCCTTTCATATTTTGTGGGAACGACAATGTCCTTGCGCATTCTTGTTGGTAATTCACCTAGCACAAATGGAGCGAGAAACACACTCTCAAAAATCAACGGCAACAAAATAAAAACTTGTGAAAGTACGATTGAGCCAACGGTGGCTCATCGCGTCACTAATGTGCTAATTACAAATAAAATCTTTGAAACTGAGATTATATGTTATAAAATCTAATAAATGAAAATTATTGAGGGGGGAATTTGGCCTATACAAACTGTTGTGGGAGCTCAACGTGTAATTTCCGTGTTTTCGTCTACCCAGACACTTGTGGTACCAATTCACCAAGTCCGGAGGGATTGAAGGCTTGATTGGCCTGGACATTGGATTGGAGCCGATCAGAGACCTGACCACTCGACTAAACTCGTGATAAGTGGCGCTGCTCGCTACATCATTCCCACCTGTTGCACTACTGTTCCTTAGTGAATACAAACAATTTTACATTACCTATGCAGCGCTTTCAAAAAAAATGCATAACTTTGCAGGGTTGTGAAACGCTATACTTCCGCTTTTCCCGTTGCCGCAATTTCAGTCAATCAAAGTATTCGCTGCACTTTCTAACAATATGCTTATAAAACGAGCTAAAATGGGGGAAGCGAACAGCCTGAGCAGCTTGAAAATTATAGGTTTTGCCGCTGTGCGCCGTCTCTCGTCCGCCCGCCGTCTTTCATTCTGTCTTTTCTAATACTTGTTTCAGGTTATTCCAGTAGGTATGAGGTGCAGTAGGTAGTGCACTTATGTTGCTTGTGTATCAAATTAGGCAGCTCTTGATTCGCCCAAAGAATGTGCTAAAATGGGTGAAAATTATGGGAAGATTAGGGTGGGTGAATATTGAGGCAAACCCTTCTTTTTCGCACCTTGTTAAGGATGTCTTGCATCGTGATGTTGCTGCCTTCAAGTGAACTAGTTATCACTGGTAGGTGTCCTTATCGTACTGTGATCGCACTCTGATTCTCATAACAGATTTTGTGGGATTTTGCTAGGTTTTCTGTTGAGGTCAACATCTTATGCAGAGGCCATGAACTGATATTGAGCGTGGTATCTGAGCAACTTTCAAGTGGCATAATATACTCGCGGTTCGAGGTATAACCCTCTGAGCACAAATATAGGGTAACCAAGCCTTCTATATTCCAGGTGCGATAAATCGGTGCGAGATTAGCCTGGGAGGATATAAAGAAATATTGGTTTATCCATCTTCTGGCCCCGCTAGGTTGTCTAAACCGAGATGTCTTCACGTAATGCAGCAGTAATCAGAAGGGCTCAATGGGAGAAGAGTTGTGAGGTCATCAGCTAAGCAGGGTTCTGATGTTAACACTAGGATCAGATTACTACAAGTATGTGTAGTTTTACTAGACAAATCGGTGCGACCGAAAAGATGTAACGATTTTAGTGAAGTATAATATACTCGAAATCCCTGAGATCGAGTAGACGTGGTCCGCATGTTTCAACTTAACCTGAAGGTGTCTACGCTTCTGGTGAGATATTTTCATCTTGACATTAAGGATTTATTACAATTTCCAATTTTTGTGAATTTGCTCAATGTTGTACTTTTCACCCGACGCCCGCACCGAATTTACTCCGACAAGCATTCACATGACGACACAAGAATCTCCCTTGAGCGCGCGCCCCCTTGAGTGCATTTGACATTTTTTTCGATACTTTTTATACTTTGACTTTTCACCCTTCTAAGCCGCTTCTAGGAGCCCCACCCACACTGAAGGCTCCGCTCGTTTTTGTGTCCAAATTGAGCACTTGAAATCTCGATCATTGGTCGCAATACACAATACAACGTTGTAGCGGTACACTAGAACCCCCTGAGCGTCGAATGGTGCCCGCGCTAAAAACGAATGCTATTTTCGTGACTAAGGCGCCAAATAACCCTAGTGCAGGGCACATCATCGTTGGGAACTCCCCAGCAGGTGGGGGGGGGGTCACAACACACCCCTTTTCCTGTTCCAAGTGTGCTACAACCTCCTTTTCCTCCGTTTGCGCGAACAGTGAAGCGAACTCTGGAAAAAGTCTTGAAAGTTGGTGGGAAATTCGGAAAGTTGTAGAAGTAGTAGTAATGGGAGAGGAAGGTCGTATCAGAGGAGGAGTTCAGAGGCTTCGTACTTTGCAAAATTTTCCCCTAACCACAAATGGAAGACGTGCCTCGTATATTACTAATTTCGGGGATAATACGGCTATGTGCTCTGTCAACCCACTCCAAGTGTCTCTGGGCCTTTGTTCATCGCAACCTCACACGACGCTGAAATCAACCGACCTCATTCGGGACGCTTCCGACGGGTCCTTCTTCGTTCTTCTCAACTTTTGAGTCGCTCAACACTTAAAAATGCAAATTTGGGCCTCACGAACTGCCACTTGTGATCGCATATGTGTTTTTAGGGCCTGTAATAAAATTATATACTTGTTATAACATAATTTCCTCGGAATGGATGCCGTGCCATTCGCCCAAATCCCTCTGGAATGTGTATAAATGAGCATGATTAATCGTTGTAAACAAAACCCCAATGACACCAGCCTCAGCGCTAATTGATCGTTTTTGGATGGAAAGCAGGAGACTCCGGACAATGTCTTCATTCAAATTGAAATTTTCTCCAGAAAGAAGTACCACTCATACAACTCATTTTCGAGACCAGTCGACAATTCGTTCGGCGCTTCGTCCTCTCCTACAGGCGAACCCTGAGGCCTTGGTAGTAGTAGTAGCAACTATAGCGGGATATGATATTTTACCCACGGTGTTACGTTCCCATATGATCTTATTTCGGGTGGGTCGGAAAGGCAAAGCTTTCCGGGGTAATCGATTTCTTTTCTCTTTTTCTTTGACGTTTTTTTTAATTCTTCTTCCATTCAGTGGAATTTCGTGCTGGCCTTTCAAGATATTGACGACAATCGCATTTTTCAAGAAATCGTCGCGTGGGACAAAGGCGTTTTTTTCGCCTGCGTCAGCCCTGAGCTAACAGTTGCTCATAATGTGCCGTATAGACCACATTTATGCTTTTCAAGGGTCTGCGAAACGGTCGAAGCTGTATTTACTACCTGGCCACACCAGACGCTATGAAAACCCCACCTCCACGATCATGCCCACTTTTCGGCCGTCGTAATTTTTCGAATTTTGTTTGACCCTTTTCGCTTCTGCTGCTTTTTTGCACTTTTGCTATTAAGCACATTCATCCTAAATTGCAGGGCTTGCACAACCACATACGAACCATTTTTTCTAAAGATTTATTACAATTTCCAATTTTTGTGAATTTGCTCAATGTTGTACTTTTCACCCGATGCCC